ACTCTCACACTGACACCTTGCCAGACACATTCTGCTGTGAAACTGTCTTAACCCTGTCCCTACCTCTGCCCAGAGTCACATTGCAGAAGCTCAGGCACTGGGAAAGTTTCCCCAAGGAAAGTGAAGGCTAGACAATCAACTCTGCAGGCCAGACGTGAAGCAGGCACGGCTGAGGGATTCCAGGGCCCACACAGGCTCGTATCACATCCCAGCACATCCCCCATCCCCCCACCCCCATGCCAAATAGGATCAGGCCCTCGTGGCTCTCAAGCCAGTCTGGCAGAATCAGAGTCAACAGAAAGCTCTTTGGACTTAAGATTTCTGGGCACCACTCTGAGTAACTCAGATCCAACATGGGGCCCAAGTTCCTTTGGAGACTGTCAGCTGGGAACCCCAAAGATCCACAGAGCAAGAATAGCCTCGCTCTGTGAGGGAAGAGTGTCTGCCTGCCATCCAAGAAGGTATTCAAGTGACCAGAACTCAGAATACCTAGACTCTGTTTACTCATGGAGAATTGGAGAGTGTCTACAGGTGACCGTGCATCTCCAGGGGCCACAGTGATCACTAACTTCTCTGTCAGGAAAGGGGTCTGGGATCACACAAATTTGCTAGGAGATTAGTGGGAAGGCAGAAGATGCAGAAAATCAGAATCCAGGAAGACTGCTGGTGGGAGGCCCAGCTACTTATGAAGACCAGGCACGGTGGCTCACACCTATGATCCTTAGTCTAGAGAATAAGGCAGGAGAATCAAAAGTTCATGGCCAACCTCAGCAACTTAGCAAGACCCTGTCTCAAAATAACAAATAAGGGGCCAGGATTGTGGCTTAGTGGTGGAGCACTTGTGAGGCACTGGGTTTGATCCCTGCCACCACATAAAAATAATCAAACAAAATAAAGGTATTGTGTCCATCTACAACTAACAAAATATTTTAAAATAAATAAATAAATAAGATTGGGAGGTAGCTCAATGGTAAAGCACCCTGGGTTCAATCTTCAGTACCAAGAAAAAAACAAAAGAAGAAAAAAAAAGGTGCTGGATGAAGCCAGTGTCTTTGCAGTCATGACACTTGCTTTTACCTGCCCCCTTGTTAAGAAAAGGGCGGCGGGGGGCAGAAAAGACCTGCTCTAAACACTTCAGGGAAAGGTGGAGTATCAACGTGAGAGGACAGAATTTAAAACTAAATAAAATACAAAATGCTAGTCTTTTTCTTCTTTCCATGAAAGCCATCTCTGTACCAACACGGTTAGATTATAAACATCCCGAAGCAGAATCCGCCCCCAAGAGAGCTTTCTCGTTTCCATGCTCGCTGAATACTTTTTATTGACTGGCAGCATTTCTTCTCCAGCATGAGGATGCTTAGAGGGTCCTCCAGTTCAGCTCCTCCAAAAGAGCCCTTTTCTTTAGAACCCAGCTCTTCTCTCATTATGCATTAGGAAACCAACTTCTAACATAAAACAACACGGAAGGATTTTTCCACTGTATTTAGTCTGGAGTAAGGTGTGATTCACGTAAGTGAAACTGCATCAGTTGCCCAGATATTCTGTGATTATCAAAGCACTGTTTTGAAAGCAATGAAACCCAGACATGAAGCAGGAGCAGCCGGGAGGATCTGGCTCTCAGACTGACGTCAGTTTTCTCCTTATGCTTTGGTACCACACCGACAAATCCCAGGTAGTCAATTTGATTAAAAAACAACAACAAAAAAAACAACTCTCTTCTTGAATTCATCATATCCACTCATCAAAATCCAAGCAAACACAGCAGAGTTGAGTGACCCAATGTGATGGGGAAGACATAAAGATGCTCAAGAATTCCATCCCACATGCTTCAGTCTTATAAAAACTCAAGCCACTTCTAACTTGTGAACAGACACTGCTTGTTCTTAGTGGCTCCATACTGTTCTCTCCTTGCTATTGGTGCTACCGCTATGACCTTCAGAAACCCACTTGAACTCTCTGCATTTCTTTATCAATAAAATAAAGTGTCTGAACCAAAGATCTTTAAGGAGCTTTCTTTTTTTCTTTCTTCTTCTTCTTTTTTTTTTTTTTTTTTATGCTACTGTGGATTTTACCCAGGAGCACTTTATCTCTGAGCTATATACTCAGCGTTTTTTAATTTTTTGTCTTGAGATGGAGTTTCACCAAGTTGCTAAGGGTCTTGCTAAATCATTGGGATTACGCCACCTATCCCAGAACTTTCAAGAACTTCACAATTTTCACTGTGCTGGGTATGGCACACACCAGTAATTCCAGCAGCTCAAGAGACTGAGGCAGGAGGATCACGAGTTCAAAGCCAGCCTCAGCAA